TCTATTCCAACAGATACCGCTTCTCGCTTATCAAGCGAGTAGTCTTTTAATGGTACGAATTTATCCTCATTTCTCAATGGACATGGATTCTACGTGTACCATTTAACAATCTTTTTTCTTGGTTTCAAATTGTAGATAAAAGACGTATTTCTATATTTGTTGGCCGCAACAAGTAGGTCCAAAATCTGCATATGTACTTTTCGATCCTCCTATGTAATTCATAATCCCACGTTTCCATTACATTTAGCCATCAACTTTGGAGGAATAGGGAATTTCATTCAATACTTGATCAACGAAGGTCTCTTTTCTCCGATCGTCACCGATCCATCGATCCGTCGAACCACCGAACCAAAGATCCATTTGTCCTCCTCTGAGAATACAATCGAGTCCAATGAAACCGGTTCACAAAGACTTTCTTCGATTAGAGAAGATAAAGGAGAAGAAAGCGTCGGTGACTATGGAAAAGGCTACACGTTGGATAATAATCACGGTGGTGTTTGTGAGAACAATGGTTATGATGAGAACAGGGATAGTAAGATAGACAAAGATTTTGATGAAGTAAATCCTAAGGATGTGGAGGAGGTATAAATAGACATTCTCCTTAGATACAATGCGTACGAAGAAGTTGTTGTTTGATGCGAGGATCTTCTTTATTTAAGTAAAAGATTTTATTTCGATAAAATATGAAAAAAAAAAAACTGTAATCAATTTGAATTGAAAATTAGGAATAGCTTTGTAATATGAAACTCGAAAAAAAAATATTAATTTCTTTATAAAATGAGGTTATTGAATACTTGGTGGTATTTATTGTCCGAACCGGAGCGAAGGGTATAGGTCACGTGTGGATTCTGTCCGTCCGCATGTGTAACACATTTTTTTTAAAATAAACTTAGTAGCTTCGAACTTACAATCTAACCAAGAGATGTGCGCAATTTGATAGCGAATCTACAAAACAAGAGTAAACGAAAAGCACCTGAAGCTTTTGATTATTGTTTACAAGAAATTTTAGAGAAAGGCACAGAACTTGAGAAATAAATCGAGAACATAAATAAAATAAATCTTCGAAGTTTCATGTAA